ATTTATATTTTAAGTTTCGAACGATTTTAATAAATAGTGATTGAGTAAATGAATTTTCATTTACTGCCAGTTTTTTCCGCTACTACTGTACTTATAGTCAGAGTTAGAGGTGGTCGGATACTTATGACCGCTACTGTAGTGTGAGGTAACTCCTTAACAGGTAGTACCTGTGCTTAGAGTATTAGTGATTTCTTGTCCCACTATTGCAATCTGCTTTATTATATTTCAGTTTAGTTTGTTAAGATATTAGAATGACAAAATGTATATTATAATTATCTACTCTATTTTAACTAAAATAAACTTAGAGTGTGTTAAATTCTAACCTATATTCTTTTTGGTAGAATATGATTATTAGGAGACTACAAGTAAGATCAATGGAAATATGAAAATTTTTGATTTTATCAATACATTCTTTTCTAAAAAAAATTCCTACAATTATTATATTAGCTAGTATATATGATAAGAAAACTCTTCTTACATTTGATGAGTCTGGCAAATTCTACGGAAGTCAACTATATTCACCTTACAAAGATCAGAATATAAATTCAACATACTTATGTGATAAATATGCTCTTGATGCTACTTTTAATTCAAATTTAATTTCTCTTAAGAGAGCGAAGAAGGTTAGTATTATATACAACTCGTAAATAATAATTGACTTCAAATCTTTTTCTATTTTGATATACATATAGATCAAGACTATCAGCAAAGATAAAAGTACAGAATATAATTCAGAATCAGAAGAAAGTGACAAAGAAGTGATTGATGAAGTATAAAGTAATGAAGAAATCAAGAGTCTTAAACAGGTATTTTGGCATTTTTACACTTTATATATAATAATTGTATTCATTTTTTAATTTTATAGGATGAAGTGGATATTTGTGAAAAACTAAACACAATTTTGAGAGAACAGAAAAAAAAAGAGACGAAATCAGAAAAAACCATTATGATATCAATAATACTTAATAATATAATAAATATTTCTGATAAAGGAATAAATAAAGTAATTAAATTATATTTTAATTAAGATCAAATTTGTTGGCTAAATGACGTACTTAAAAAGCAAGTGTTTATTCCAGCTGAGGAATTCAAAAATTACATTGATTAATTTACCAAAGAAGCATGCAATAGAGTTCAGATTCCATCTCTCGTCTGTAAGTCTTTCATTAATGAAAGATTTGATTCTTATTATTATGAAAATCATGATGTAGCATAGCAAGTTCTCACTCACTAGTAAGTGTTTGCTTATGCATATAAGTCAGCTTTTTTATTATTTCTGACTTCTCTATTAAAAGTTCTGTTAGGTTAGAGGCTTCTGTTTCATATGAATCAGAGTATTTAAATTAGAATGAACATTTATAGTAGATACGACTATATACATAATAAATAGGTTATTCCATATGAATAAAGACTTATTGGATATTAGATGGTAGATATCAATTATGAATTTTAAAGTATTTAATTATTTTCTTTAATTCTCTATCTCTTCTACTCAAGATTGAGCTAGAAACAAAATTCATTAAGAAGCATAAATTTGATGGTATTTTGAAAGTGATAAAAGTCAAAAAAAATAGCAAGACAATTCTTTTAATTGAATTCGCCAGAAGGGAAACAACAGCAAAAAAAGAAGTAAATGATCACACTAAACTAAGTAGAAATATAAAAAGAGCTTTAAATGAATTACTAAAAAATATACCAAAAGAAATGGCAAGAGTATATCTCATTCAATTAGTAAGTAAGTATCAAAATTAGGAACTAGACGATGAAAAAATTATTTACACATATATATTTTTTCCACAGATGGGAGTATCAATAAATTAAATATCTAATTTGACTACTTTCTTCAGTTTATTTGATGAATCAATTTTTACTTATGAAATACTGATTGTTTTTGAAGACTTCAAAAATTTCACGAAAGATATGATCCAGTTGATAAACCTCTAAGTAAGGATTGATAATAAATATTCATAGACATCCTCATCAGATACTGATAATAACTGATTTTTATTATTGTAAGCTGATATACTTTTAACTGCTAAACAGATAAATAAATACTCAAATAGTAGTGACGATGCAAGGGTAGTGGATTCAGTTCAAAGTATACCAGAAAAGCTAACAAAAGTCAATCTAGAAAGGAAAGAACATCCTAAATCACCAACTCCTTCTAATGATAAAACTTATCTTCTTGCATAGTCAATAGATTAAATTGATGGTACTTTAGAAATTAGTTTAATTTTATTATATATGTATAGATATATAAAAATATTTTTTATTTGCATTTAGCACTATTTTTAATTAAATTATATCTGCATGGTAAACTATACTACAGTTAATCAATTTATGTGCTTGGTTTTTCTCGAAAAGTATTATGTGCACTATGTATTTATGCCTCACTTATAAACTTATGAATTGTAATTTGTGTTGATCATACTAGTTAATAAAGAATATAAAGATATTTGCATTTTATCATAATAAAGTTTATTCACACCATCAGAATTTTGATTTTTCAACTATATTATCATGTATGCTATTTAAAAAAAATTAATATAATTACTTCAAGAAATATAAATAGACTTGCTATTCTACTTTTTCAAATTTAATAATTTGAATTTACCTTCAAATATTTATATACCTCTTCATAATTAGAGTTCCAAATGAGTCGAGTTGAGTCGAGTTTAAAGATCAACTCAACTCGACTCTCTTTTTTCGAGTCAAGTCAAGTCAAATTTATTTTATAAAATCTTTCAATTTGATTTGATTCGAGTTATACAAATTTTAAACTC